CGGATTAATAACAACATAGGAACGGAATAGTGCATGCAGGCCCAGGCATTTAAGGTTGTTTATAGCCCTAAGGATCGGGATTGGCCCAGCCCCCCCAAACAACTTTTCCCGAACTTGATTAGGGGCCCCCCGGTTTATTCAGAGCCGGAGTTGTTTGGGGGGGGGGCGGGGGGGGGTTTTATAATCAGAACCCGGCATTAATTGTTCATCTTTGGATTCTCCATTACTGGGGATACCATCTCTACACCTACACACTATAAGCCCCAAAAAATCCTACAAGCCCTGGGCCCTAAACATGAAACCCTAAGCCTCGCCAGCCGCGACCCCTGGCTCCGAAGCAGACGCCTGCAGAGATTTGGGGTTGTTTGCTTGAATCTTTTGATGAGTGTTACAATATGGGGTTTCTAAGGGTTTGACAATTTGGTATATTGTTTAAAAGATGTCATTGGGTTTATCGGGGCTTGTAAGGTGCTTGACAGCGTAGGGGTTTCTCAGTAGTTTTTTGTTCGAACCACTTAGCCGTTGGATGCCTTGTGCTTAAGGCACTGCACCACAACATCACTGATCCGGTCTCCATGCGAAGTGCGAGGGACCCGACATACACACATATCCCCAGCAATTGGTGGGTTCTTGACCTTCAGGTTCGAACTCTTGAACCTATACTCGAAACTTGATCCACGACTCTAAGCTCCAAACCCATTGCATCCCTGGCCTACGCATCACTCCTATGTTCAGTGCGACCGTACCAAAAGCTCACACTGAGCCTTCAAGCCTAAACCCTAGACCTGTGCAACTCCGGAAGATCCCCAAGGCCTCAACGCTAAATTTTAAGCTAGCTCCAAACCCCTTAAGGGTTTAGGGTTGAGAGGTTTAGGGTTTAGGGAATCAAGGAGGCTTCCAGGTGGCTGGTCGTGGAGTGGGTAACCCTCGACGGAAGAGCTACGTACCCCTCGTATGCCCCCACAATCCTTTTAAGATCATTGTATCTTAAGTCTTTCCCCCTTACAGTAACATTTACAACGGGAAGCAGTAAGAGTTATAACCATGCCTTAATAAAGCCCCCCCTCTAAGGACAAATGATGCAAGGGGGAATGACCCAAATTGTATCAGCCAAGCTTGCGGGTACCATACCTACGCAGAAACTCTGCCAACATGATCTTTAGTTGTGTGTTGGGGCGCGTATAATGAACACAGCATGGGCTCAGGTAATTCTAGCCCCCCAAACAGCTGGTACTCATTAACGATGACCGTTTTAGGGGGCTTAGGGCACTTCTAATTGAGTTATAAGCGCAGTTTCAATGGGCTTATACTGTTCATACTATCAATATTGCATGACCTTAGTAGACTACAGTACCACAGCTCCCAAGGCATAGGGTGCTTAGGGTCACCCCACCTTGAAAGACGACTGCGAAAGCTCCAGCTTCAACCCCGGATCCTGATAGTTAGCTTTGTTTCTTATAGGGCTTAGGGATTAGGGTTTAAGCATTCGGGTTTAGAATGTAGGGTCTAGGATTTAATGTTCAGGACTTACGGCTTCGGATCTAGGGTTCAGGATCTAGGGTTTGGGGTTTAAGGTTTAGGAGTTAGGGTTTTCACGTTGAGACCTGGGGTTGAGAGTTCTTGTTGGGCTGTTCATGGGAGGACTTGCGGTGTTTTTGAGGCCACTTACAGTACTATACTTCATGTAGGCAATGAGTTTTTTTTTGGCGGGGGTGGGGGGGTGAGGGGGGGGGGACGGTCCTCAAGCGGGTTTAAAGTGTTTTTTTTTCTTTTTTTCGGTGTACCGCAGCCTAGTTAAAGTATGGGCTCAGGGCATATTCTTCTAAAGTGCGCAGAGGACTATAGGAGAAGATTCGTGACAATTATTCACGCTTATACATCAGGCTTTGGGGTTAAATAAGCCCTAAACCCTTAGCTTCAGGTTTCTATAGCAGGCCTTATAGGCTTGGGTGCAGAAAGCGGGTAAAAGGTGGGCCCTCAGGGCGAAGGGTTCTGGGTTAGGGGCGTTAAAGGCACAAGGTAGTGACTTGGCAGGAATGTCAGGTAATATATGAGTCACAACCCGAACTCCTAGTACTCCCCCTTCATGACCCCAATAATACTCCCCTATACAATCCCCTATATCTAACCCCCCTTTTAGGGAGTTTAGACTATGGCTCATATTGAGGAGTGAGGAGGTGAGTGAGGTTTAGAGTCCAGGATTTAGGGCTTTCGACTCTGGGTCGGAAAGCTCAGAAGGAGCTTGACACATGTCTTATACGGGTTCTTACTAGGGACTAAGGGAATATACTAAAAAGGGATGATACGGGGGCTAGATTCCCTTATTATATGGGTTCTTACTAGGGAATAAGGGAATATACTAAATGGGGATGATATGGGGACTAGATTCCCTTATTTCCTGCTTCTGTTGGACCCCCTTTAGTACAGGGCCCCCCCCCCCGAACAATTGACTATTCTCTTTAATATTCAGCCACCCCACAAATTTGCCGCACTATTAAAATCAGATGGGCCCTCAGAATTTGGGTAAGTAGTTTTGATGGAAGCTTTTGCGCCTGGTATAGGTAAAAATGAGCTACAGAAGTGAATAACTCGTGTATCTTTTCATTTCGGGCACCGGAAAATTGTATTATTCGCATCCCCCCGAACAATACCAGATCCTGAATAAATTTCCCCGCAAATTCTATTATTCCGAACCCTCGGCGAAAGCAAGGGGGGACAAAATTAAGAGCCAGTTAGAAACTGCTTTCAACGCAATCAAAATTGTTCGAGCAAAGGTCGCAGGACTTGTGCTCAGGTTGCTGTATGCAATTCGTTGCAAGGCGGGGACGCTAAAACCTAGCACACTTCAGCCTACATCCGAATGCGGGTACGTCAGGATCCTAAGCATAATATTGTTGATTAGGCTGTAAACCTATACATATCTCCCAGAAGCCCATCCTTGCTATTTGGCCCTCTACATTAGAGTTCAAAACTTGAGGCCCAGGGTGCAAGGCTTCAAGTTCACAGTATTGGGCTAAGGTTTGGAAAGGTTTGAAAACTGTGGGTCCCTAAGGGTGGGGGTGGGGCGGGGCGGGCGATGCAGAATAGGAAGCCCCTCGTTTTGAGAAGCAAAGATTACTCAGGAAGGTCCACGAGCTTTTGAATGAACTCTAATCCAGCATGCTCTTCAAGCATGAGATTGCTTCTAGTCACGATAATCAGCCACGATGATGTCATAGGACGCATGAGCCCAGACCGCACTGGGAAGTATGGATGCATGCGATTGGTGGGTTGCCAAGAGATTCCTTGTCAATACTTGTAGGGGCTGATCCTGGAGCTGCTCCTCAAATGATCCATTGAAGTCATCACACTCTCAGCCACCGCCTCCAAACTGTGCTAAACTATCAACTCTAAGGGATTTGGAACCCCAGTAGAAATTACAACTTCAGCTAAATATTAGGATTCTNNGATTCTAGGTAACAGAAATTAGAAACTATTTTCAGGAACCTTGTAGTCAACCTAAAAGCCTGGTTTAGGGTGTAGGGTTTCCAAATAAGAGGCAAGTCACAGCATCTTGTGCCGTGCCCTCAGAATCTTCTTCGCCGGACTGGGGCGACACTGCCTGATGACTGGGTTGCCATTATGGAACCTAACATACCATAAAATGGGTGTAGAGTACATAATACGGTTTTCTTATCATAGTTACCCTGACCTTTGAACGGTATATACTCTTACTAAAGGAGCTTAATGTAGCTTTACTTAAGGTAACTTAACCTAAAATACTAACCTTAAACCCTATAACCCTTATTATAGTGACTCAAAGTAGCTTAACTGAAGGCATACCCTTGTTATAGGAACTTAGTGTAGCTTAAATTGCGTTCCTGAACAGCAACCCAGATGAGGCAGAGACTAGGCAAAGCTCCGGGTCAAGGAGTTCAGACTTTGGGGTTATGTGGAGTTATAGGTTCAGGGTTTAGGGTTGAGGGGTTTAGGGGCTTTCGGTTCAGGATTTAGGGATTTAGGGTTTAGGGGTTTAGGGTTTAGGGGGCTCTATAACTCCAGTGATGGAGAATCAAATGGAAAAAACATGGAAAATGAAATGGAAGCTGGGGTTATAGGATAGTTTATAAGGATTGAAGCTTAATAGGAGCTGTAGTCTGGACTCCTTAAAAAGGGTGATATAGGAGATTCTATAGAGGAGTATCTTAAAGGTTACTAATTAAGGGGAATACACTATAGCTTCTTGAACAATGTATTATAAGGTCATGTAAGGGAATGCGGGGGGGTATATTGGGTTGAGGGCTTAGGATCACGATATACCTGCGCTAAGGTCCTGGACTATGTGGGAAAGATGCTGAGAAAGCCGGGCTGAAAGCCTGAAGTTTCAGTAGTCCAAGGTTTGGGGCTTTATGCGGATCAGGTTTCAACGACTTTCCGGTTATCCATGTCTTTTCTACGAAGGGAGTTATAAAGTTTGCTTGCTAGCCGGGCTCTATAAAGGACCCCATCTGTAGTCCAAGACGATTTCCTAAAGATTCTTGAACCATCATCCCCAATCCAGAAACCATACACCCGTAGCCAATCCTGAAAAACCGAAACATGAATGCTTCAGTCGATCATCGACAGAAACTATACTTCTCGACCAGAGGCGACTGTGTTTATTGCTGCTCCTGCGCGTCCCCTTCTTGCCGTGAGCCTACTATTTGCAACCACCATGACCAGACAAGTCACTAGGACCAGGACCACTGCTTCTGCTGCTACGAAAGATGCAGCATGAGGAAACGACTGCATCCAGAACTTCGTGCAAGTGTTTGCAAGTGTTTGTACCGTCCGCAAATTCGTGAGACGGTGAAACGACAAACCATGGTCCCTACGTGCACTGTATTTGGCGTTTTACTATCATGGGTTCTGAAGCAGAAGTCCTAAACCTGCCTTGGATGAACTCTAAACCCTAAACCCCAAATCCCTGAACGCCTGAACCCTGTCAAGAGTAGAAGCCCTTTACCTGCCTCGGGTGTGGATACGGAGCGGAGCAGCTGGGCTGCCAGGGGCGTCTGCAGATGTGCCGACACCGATCGGCTGGGCGCTTCTTGCTGCGTGTCCTGTGGCCGCTGAACGTCTGGGGTTTAGGGTCTGGGGTTGAGAAAGTAACTGCTGTAGGGATTGAAGGGGTTTCGGATTTGTTGCTATGTATATACGGATATGCATGTCTATACATACAAATATGCGACATTACAAATAATTCGGAACACCTTTTTTTACAGCAAGCCTTCAGGTAAGTAGTCTTCAGATGGGTACACGTCAAGGAGACCGATGTAGACCTCATGGACCCCATTACCCTCGTCAAGCCTTACATGAGCATTATATAGGGGGGTACCCACCTGGTAACGACCCTCTGGGAGTGTCCTGGACATTGCTTAAATTAGACACCCTAGACCCCATATAACCCTTTGTACCCTGGGCTAATTTCCAGACCCCAGGCGACTCCAAAATCCGAAGCCCTAAATCCTAAGGTTAAAGCCTTCAGTCCTACGAAAACACCTGAACCTTAAGCTCATATTCTACATCCTTATACTCTAAATGCGAGAACATCCCCCGAACCCTGCACCTTGAAGTGTAAAACCTAATTACTAAGCAACTTTATCCTTCAAGCCAATTACCCATATCTTGTCAGTATTTACCTTCCTAACGAGTACTGTAGGTGGAACTGCAGATCATTGCGGTTACAGGTAGACCTAAACCCCAAACCCTAAGCAACCCACCCAACCCTGTGCTGCCCATCCTTGGGTCGGCTTGCAGGCGTTACCTTCCCGTTCAGTTTTGAGGAATTAAGGCTCAGGGTTAAAGGTTTGTGTGTACGGTGCGGGGTGTAGGTTTGAAGGGTTGGGGGTTTGGGGCGCGCCGTTTCGGGTTTGGGGTTTATAAGGTTTGGGCGTCGGATCTAGGGTTCAAGGTCTGAGTAGACAGTTTTGCTTTGGACTTCGGTACATTACCTAGGCCAAGGCTGTATTCTTGAGAGTTTCGGGACTTAAGATGGAGGGCCGGGCCTGCAGGGGGTGTCCCGGGCTGGGCAAAAGGTCTGCGGATGAAGTTTATAGGTTTAACGATTAAACCTTTCCCCCTAGCAGAACCCGTCCCCTAATGCTATACAACAACTCAGTCTTCAGGCTGCTGTTTAGGGTTTAGGTTTTAGTGTTCCACACACTCGCAACCAGATACCTACAAAATTGCATGTATCCCACACCAAAAACAAAGATCAGTCAGGACCCCGAACCCCCAAAAGATACCAAACCCTAAGCCCTAAATCCTGGGTAAACCAGCATCCTGATACCTAAGCCCAAGCCCTCAAGCTCCTACATCTAAAGCCCTGAGCCCTCAGCCCTGGGCCTTGAAAACTGAACCCTAAACACAAAATACTAAACCCTCCCTGCATCCTACACCCTCAACCTTACTTAGCCCACATTACCCTAAGAAGAAAAAAGGATCCTTTACATAAAATATGAGGAATCGCATACACCATAAAGTATAAAGGATCCCTAACAT